TACTCGAGGATCATCCTTCGGTATGCCAGCATTGTAAACAGTTTGAAGAAAGCGATTGGTGTATGTGCCAATGGGTTCATCGTTCTTCATGGTCATAGTAAACACCTGAGTGTTATACTCCCTAGTCTTGAACTTCGAACCAAAGTGCTTTTTAAATGCTTCTCTTGCTTCAGTCCAGGATCCGCAGCGCTTCAAGTTAGTCTGGGCCCAGGCATCCGCTCCATACGGAAGACACAATGGAATGTATCTTTTCCACACGGCTTCAATATCCTGTGAGGAAGAGTATACCACATTCTCAAAGGTACGTAGAAAGTGCTCATCCGACTCAAAAGCCTCTTCGTTAGGAAAGGGTCTATGTGAGTTGGCTAGTAACTGATATTTGGGCAAACCCCGGCGACTCAAAGAAAGGCCACTCGAAACAGCTCCAACGCTAGCACTAGAGGAAACATTTTGCTTTTGGAAGCCGGTGGGCTCTGCAGCTCCATCAATCTTCAACACCATAGACTTATATTCGTCTAAGCTGCGGATGCTCGATTTAATGCGCTCCACTTCTTGGAGTGCTCTATCGGCTGCGGCACTATCATTTAGGCTCCTAGCAGTGCCAAAAGCTCTCAACGTAGATGCCATTTCGTTTCGCAGCATAGCGAGGTTTTCTTCTACCATTCTGTAGTCTTGGCCAGGACTTGCAGCCGAGCTAACAGTTGATGCTTCACTAAGTATTTGATCAATCGACTCATCCATCTGGGCATCAGTCAATGTTCCAGCAGAAGGTCCAATAGTCAAAGAGGAGACATCAAGGTTGGTAATGTTTTCAAAGTTACCAGAGTTACCAGAGTTACCAGAGTTACCAGAGTTGTTCATCTTGTAGGATTTACCAAGCAACTAACGGAAAAAAATGTTGTGAGATGAAGAGAGAGTAGATATTCAATAAGAGAAAAGGTAAGAACACAGAGAAAGTCCGTTAGAACTTGTATAGGTTTTTATTTCTCCAAGAAAAATGTTATCCTTCAATTGCTATAAAATGTCAAGGTATTTATACTTTTTCTTCTCGGTCAAAATATTGTTTTGGGTTAGCTTCTTGACTACGGATTGATTTGTTAGATCAGGAGCAATTAAGAGAAATGCCTTTAGAGGAAGTTGTCAGCTCAGCCAATAGTACATGATCTGACCTGAACTTGAATAAACTATTACATATTTGTCAAATGCCAATGCCAATGTATTTGTCAGCTCTAACTGTCACTTTATAAGGGCCATTAATAATAACAGAGTCAATAGGTTCATAATATCTGTCTATGAGGATGATGTAGTACTTCTAGTAGAATGAGTGAATGTCAGTGACTATAGATCCATTGCAATTGCCATAGATGTGATCTGGTTTTTTGCCATGATCATCATTTATTGATCTATGCATATGAATTCATATATGTTCACAACAGTTATAATCTCTCTATTTGTGTCTATCTCTCTATAATTACAATAGTCTTTACAGTCTTCTGTTGTTAATTATTGGTTTATCTCTTTTATTTGTTGATCTCGTCGTTCAAGGTAAACACAAAGGGAAAGAGAGGGAGTTGTCAAGTGGTCCGGCCTACCAGATCATATATGTGTTCTAACATGTATTATTACTCAAGTTATATTATGTCTATCAAAGAAGCAAACTCAAGTACTAAACGTGGTGCTGGTATGAGGTTCATGAATGAGCCTAGAGAGTTCTCTGGTGAAGGTGATGGTAATTCTGCTTTGGTTTGGGTCAATCGTATGCAAAGGTTGAAGGTCTCAGGAGGTTTGAGTGATGAAGAAATGTTGTTCGTCGCTAGTGACAAGCTTGTTGGTAAAGCAGAGACTTGGTTCAACGTGGTTGGTGCAAATACAGTTACCTGGGATGCCTTCGTGAGCGCTTTTAAGAAGCAATATTTATATGATCAAGAGGATAAGTTTTGGAGTCAAGTACAAGGTCTTAGACAAGGTGCTGAATACCCTTCAGTGGATGATGTTGCACTCAAGATGCAAGAGTTGTTCATGCTTTTAGACAACAAATCGCAGAGTTTGCAAGTGCGTACGTTTCTTAACGCTATCAAACCCAACATTGCTTTTGAGGTGGAAAAAGAAGGTGCACCGGTGACTTTTGAAGAGGCGAAAGTAAAGGCTATGCAGATTGAGCGTAGTTTGGTCAAGTACGCAAGTACTATTGGTTTTGAGCCCGTTGAGACTGTAGTCCCTAAGTTTCCTGTGTCTGCTCCTTCGGTTGCAAGTGGTTCTGTATCGGATGCTGCTTCTATGTCCAGTATGTTCTCTTTGGTGGACAAGTTAGAAAGGTTGAGCATTAATTTGGTAAATGTGATGATCTGACATTAAATAAGTCTTCATTTACATACTAAAATACATCATAATCAATTTACATCAGAAATAGACATAAAAGAACCTCTTGTACTGAATAAGACAATGGATCTTTTAATAGATCAAGACTTATAACCGAAATCCATAATTTACATTATTTAATTAATTTAAAGTAGTCTATGATAATAGAGACTCAGTCATTTGCATGAACTCTACTACTACTTACTCCGACATCTCTTCATGTATAAATATGCTAGAATAATTTATAATCAAAAAGAACAATAAAATTGTATAGAACAGTCTCAAAGTATCTACCTTTGTCTCTATATCATCTTATTATATAACTCTATTATCAAAACATCACAGTAAACTTAACTAACAGTGTGGCTCAAAATGGTACTCGTGGTAATACTGGTGGTGTCGCTTCTGTTCGTCGTAATTTGGTCTGCTTTTACTGCAATAAAGAAGGACATAAGAAGCCTGAGTGTCCGGAGTTCTTGCAAAAGAACAATTTTGGGTCTGGGGTTGCAAGTGGTAGTAATGCTATACCCATTGGTAATGGGTCTTCAAACTTTTCTGGTGAAAGCCAGGGAAAAGAGAAGGAGTACCGATCTTAAAGGAGGTGATTGGTACTCGTAGTAATGGTGAAAATCCTCTAAAGAAAAATGACAAGTCGGTGAACTTGGTTGATACCCTGAATGACAACGGTGTTAACGAGATTTACGGTGTGAAGAGACCTGTGTCTGCTGTGCCAGTTGATACGCCGAATAAGCGGGGTAATAAGGGTAAAGCGGTGGATCAAGGTGATGTAGTCATGACTATGCCGGTTCCAGTTGGTAATGGTGCTTTTGTTCCTGCGGTTGATGGTATTGCTGCTCCTGTTAGGGGTGAAAATGTTTTTCCTCCGGTTGTTGGTGTTGCTGGTCCTGTGGTCAAGTCCAGGAAAAAGCGGTCAAAACCTCGTAGGTTACCTGTCAAGACTAATACCTTGAATGTTTGGGACACTTTGAGGAGTTTAGACGCTGGTCTTTCGATGCTGGATTGGTTAGCTATCGACCAAAGTGCTGCTAGGGATGTTAGTGATGGTCTGAAAGACTTGAGGCTGCAGCGACCAAAGAGGGCAAAGAGACATTTAGCTGCTGCGGTAGAAAGAATGAATGTTGGTGCTAGAATTAATGTAGTGGATAATGACTCGTCAAGTGATTCTGCTGGTTATGATTCTGGAGATTCTGGTATGTCTGGTTATGGTTCTGATGTTTCTTTGGACTCGGAGTTGGTGATGGTATCTGATGAAGCGGATTTGGCTTTGAGTGAAACAGAGTCGGTGTATAGATATCCATACAATTTGAATCGAATGAAGGTCAGCTCTCCTTTGCGTGGTGTGGTGACTATCAATGGTAATGCTGTTGAGGCTACCTTTGACACTGGGGCAAGTGTGTCGGTGATCTCTAAAGGATTGGTTGATGCTTTGGGTTTAGTACCGAATGGTGATAGTTTGCATTTGGTTGGGTTCAATAATAAGAAGGCGCCAAGCAAGAGCAATGTGGTCATGGATGTACCAATCTCTGTAGCTGGTAAGGTGCGACCGGATCATATGTGTGTACAAGACGAAGGTGGCAAGAATGACAAGCTCTGTTTGCTCGGTGTTCCTTGGTTTCAAGCATATGGTATTGAAATTAATTTGTCTGAGTCTACTATTCGTATACCGTCTACAAGTGGGATGGTGAAGTTGCAGTGTTACACCACTCATTTGCCTGTGTCTTCAAGCAAGGTGTATCATGTTGAGGCTTCGCAAAAATATACAGAGACGTTTGAAGAAGGCTTGGGTCCTATTGGCGTTGAAGGTGAATCCAGGTCTAGTGGGTTTAATGGTGGTAATGTAACTGATGGTGTTGATCCATTATTGATGCCTGTTGTTGAAGAATTCAAACACTGTTTCTCTGAGGTGACTGGTTTGACGAAGATCAAGGGATATCAAATGGACATTCATTTGAAAGAAGGTTGGGAACCAGTAACAAGTAGGCCTTTTCGTTTGGGGTGGCATGAGCAAGAAATCATGGACAACTATGTTGAGGAAATGCTAGCTCTAGATTTAATTGAACCAAGTGAAGGACTGTTTGCGTCTCCTGCTTTCTTAGTGGATAAGCACTCTGGCGAGAAGCGTGCTGTGATTGATTATCGAAAATTGAATAAGATGATTTTGTGTACTCAATTTCCTACACCTACTGTAGCCGAGTTGACTGAAGCCACTGCTAATGCTACGGTGTTTAGTACTTGTGATTGTACGTCTGGGTATCATCAATTGCCGCTTAACCCAGATCATGCTGAATTGACTGGTTTTGTTACCAAGAAGGGTGTGTTCAAGTACAAAGTATTGCCTATGGGGATTTCTAGTGGTTGCTCTGAGTTTCAGAAGGTGGTGTCTAGTATTTTCAAGGACTATATTGGTAAATTCGTCTTAGTATTTTTGGACGACGTCTTAGTGTACAGCAAGAGTATGGATGAACATGCTCATCATTTACGTCTGTTATTTGAAGCTTGTGGAAAAGCGAATCTCAAGTTGAAGCGCAAGAAATGTTTCTTTGGCCGCGACTCAGTTGAATACTTGGGCCACTGTGGTGAACATTTTGTTAAATCCTAAATATCTTAAATTCTGCTAAATATTAAAAATTAATTGATGCTAAATACTCATCTATTATAAATGTTTCATTAAAATCCTCTTGCCATATCCATTCATTATAAGTTTCATCATAATTCTTCCATTTTATCAAGAACTTCATCCTTTTTTTAAATTTTCTGTGGTCCAAAATCTTTTCAACTTCAAAATTTTCATCATCATCATCATTTTCGATTTCCATTTCTATTTCATTTAATCTTATAGATTGATTCTCGTTACAATCAAAATAGTTGTTTATAAATTCTGACTGTCTATTGCTCATTTCGGTTAACTTTAAAATATCAAACTTGTATATTATGTTGTCTATCAAATTATTTTTAGGGTTAGGATAATTGAAGTTATCATTAGCCCACAATAGGTGGTTAGGTTTTAATGGAATATTATATAAGCTACAAAATCTTTGAATATTTAATAGTAATAAAGATAGTTTCAATTGAATATTATATAGTTTTATATCTGTGATTTTACAACTTCCTTCATTATTATTATATCGTTTAAATTTATTTCCTAGATGACCAAAACATCCTTCTATTTTACTACGAAAACTACCAAAAGTTTCATTATATAAAATCTCATCATCAGTAAGATCCTCGTTTATCTTTTTCCTAATTGGAAACATAAAGTTGCTATTGTTTATTTTATCATTTCCTTTTTTATCACAATTTTCTAAAAATTTATCTATATAATAATAATAACCTCCATCAAATGCTAAACAGTCATACTCGTTAAGTTTATTTTCTAATTTCATACTTAAAAACATTTGTCCATCATTAAAATTTTTGCAAGGTTTACTTTCAGATACATATATTGCAAACTCATTTATATCGTAAACTACTTGTGTTCTTAAACCACTTTTTTTAAATTTATATGAATAAAATTTTTTTCTATCAATATCTTTTTTCAAATAATCAACTCTACTATCATGACCATCTATAAATAGAGTTTGATTCTTAAAACCTAAGGGGTTTATTTTTAAAGCATTAATTATTCTTATTGGTGTAGTTGAGAACATATTCTCTAATAAATCTGTAAATATTCTATTCAATTCATTTCTATTATTATCCCAAAACTGTTTATAAATTTCATAAAATGATGTTGAAGGCATAAAATCTTCCATGTCTCTAATTGAGTTACCAGAAACTAAATGGTATAATATTAATAGTCCTTTTTCCATGAATACATAGGGTCCCTTATAATCATACTTCGGAAATATTATAACAAGAAAAAAGAAAACAGGTATATACCCTAATTTATTTATTAGTTCTTCTTTTACTTTAATAATATTTTTAACATTTCTTATTTCTTCTCTATGTTTATAATCTGATATTTTTATAGGGTAGTTTATATCTAAAAATTGCCAATAGCCACTATTAATTTTAGATAATTCTCTATTTAATATATGTTCTTCCATTTATTTTATTATTGGAAATTCAATTTTTACAGTAGAGAAAATGATGATGATGATGAAAATTTTGAAGTTGAAAAGATTTTGGACCACAGAAAATTTAAAAAAAGGATGAAGTTCTTGATAAAATGGAAGAATTATGATGAAACTTATAATGAATGGATATGGCAAGAGGATTTTAATGAAACATTTATAATAGATGAGTATTTAGCATCAATTAATTTTTAATATTTAGCAGAATTTAAGATATTTAGGATTTAACAAAATGTTCACCTTTTTAAAATCTTTGTAAAGCTAAACACAAATTATACATAATATAGATAAATATATTGTCACGAGCAATAAGGAGAATGTGCAGCTACAGTTAAATATTTAGTTTTATCTAAAGAGAAATCAACTTGTTGTATAAAATGTTTTTGTCATTTGACCTTTATTTAATATCTAAAAGAGATAAGAATTAATTCTAATGTTAAAAATAATTACGTTTTTTATCTATTTGGTGACCCTATGGTCACGTGATCATTAGATCCAAAGATTTAAAAAACATTAAATATATATAACATAGAAAAACAAGATATGATGTAAAATTACTTAATAAATGTATCTAGAAGAAGAAAGGTATAAATATATTAAAGAAAACAAGAAATATATTAATATCTAGAAATACAAATGGAAAAACATTTAGCCGGTGCTGAATGAAGATTACATCTTTTCTGAAGAATTTTTCCATTTGTATTTCTAGATATTAATATATTTCTTGTTTTCTTTAATATATTTATACCTTTCTTCTTCTAGATACATTTATTAAGTAATTTTACATCATATCTTGTTTTTCTATGTTATATATATTTAATGTTTTTTAAATCTTTGGATCTAATGATCACGTGACCATAGGGTCACCAAATAGATAAAAAACGTAATTATTTTTAACATTAGAATTAATTCTTATCTCTTTTAGATATTAAATAAAGGTCAAATGACAAAAACATTTTATACAACAAGTTGATTTCTCTTTAGATAAAACTAAATATTTAACTGTAGCTGCACATTCTCCTGTATCGGTAGTCAAGGTGCTTCCCCTGGATCAAGAAACGTAGACAAGATACGTAACTTTGAGGTGCCTTCGTCCGTGGCTGTTTTGAGAAGTTTTCTTGGTTTGTGTAATTATTTCCGCAAGTATGTTGAAGGTTATGGGTCTATTGCTTCTTCTCTGACCAAGTTAACGAGAAAGAATGTACCTTTTGTCTGGGGTAATGATCAACAAGATGCTTTTGATACTTTGAAGAAGGCTCTCTGTTCTGCTCCGATCTTAGCTTTCCCGGATAAGGAGAAATATCAGGTGTTGTCTGTGGATGCTAGCCACAAAGGTTTGGGTGCTGTGTTGTCCCAATGTGATGATCCAAAGACTCGTGCAAATGAGAGAGTGGTGTCTTATGCTTCTCGTGGTTTACGTGGTCCTGAAGCCCGCTACCATATTCATGAATTGGAGAGTCTCGCTCTGGTTTGGGGTCTATTTACTTATAAACATCTGCTGAAAGGACGTCGTTTTCTGTTGGTAACTGATCATATTAGTCTGGTGCATATTTTCAAGCCGTCAAAGTCTACTATGAAGTTGAATCGTTGGAGTGCCGCTGTTCTGGATTACGAATTTGACATCATTTTCAAAAGATCCGAGGATAATCTAGCCGATCCATTGTCTAGATCTATTTCCATTGAAGAATTCAAGGACAGGTTAGATTGCGGTGAAGATGTACTCAAAATAGTCTAAGGGACTTATTGTTTCAAGTGTTCATATAATTAATTTAATTGTCAAAAAAAAAAAACGTAGTGTAACTTTAGTTGTAGAAGTATAAATATCGCATTGTTAAAAAACTTAAATAAATCAACAAAAGTTTCTTAAATCCAAGATCCAAAAAAAACAAAAAGTTTCTTAAATCCAAGATCCAAAAAAAACAAAAGTTTCTTAAATCCAAGATCCAAGAATTGAAAAATTATCCAATATCCAAAAGGTTTCTATAATCCAAAGAATCATTTTATCGTTGGTGGAGATTTGTGTTTCGGTTTGTGTTGGTGGTTCAAGTTGACTTTGGTTCCCTTTAAATAAGACTTACCTCTGTTTTATTTAATTGTATTTGTTGACACAATGGCTATTTCTTTTGCGTGGTTTCTCAGTTTGTACTACTTTTTGACGAATGGTTCATATCCACAAGATGCTGATGAAAAGGTGAAACAACGGGTCAGGTATCAGTGTAAGAAATTGGTGATTGCTGTTGATGGTCGTCTCTTGGAAGAAAACTCGGGCAGAAAGCTGTTACATGAAGCTAATGCGTTGGAGAAGGTTAAAGAGATACATCAAGAGAATCATCTGGGAATTCTGAATACGCTAGACAAGGTTGTCAAGTTCTATGTTCTGAAGGATGCTCGTGATATGGTTACTACGGTGGTCAAGACGTGTGAAACATGTCAGTTTCGAGAAAGGGTCAAGGCGGTAAGGTCCAACCCTGGTGCGATTGTGAAAACTCCAAGACACCCGTTTTTTATGGTGAGTGTCGACGCTGTGGGTCCTTTGAGTGTTACTGCTCGAAATAATCGGTATATTCTTACGGGTATATGTCATCTTACTCGTTATCCGGTTGCTCTTGCTGTTCCCGATATTGATGAAAACACTACAGGAGAATTCTATTTTAGTTTCTGCAAGTTCTTTGGGGTACCTCAATATATTCTCAGTGACCGAGGTGCAAACTTCATTTCTACGTATGTTCATCATTTCCTGAAGAAGTTGGGTTGTAAAAATATCATGACTACTAGCTATCGACCGCAAGCTAATGGTATGTGTGAAAGGTTGAATGGTTCGCTGTGTTCTGTGTTGGCAAAACTGGCTCGTGATCAAGGCAAGATTGATCAGTGGGATTTGTACTTGGATGCTGCTTTGATGGTCTTAAGGTCTACAAAGAATGTTGGTACTGGGTTTTCGCCAAGTTATCTCCTATTTGGTTATGAATTCAGAACTCCTGCTGTTTGGGTTGCGCCTCGTTTAGACTTTGCGGAAGGAGAGGAACAACAAGAACTGGCGGAGCGTATTGAATTGATTCAAGACCAGTTAGTGAAGGTGCGTGAAGAAGCAAGATTGGTGTCTGATGAGCGCAAGAAGATGTCTAAGCGTAGATATGATGCCAAGGTGGTGTTTAGAAGACCTTTTGAGGTTGGTGAAGAAGTGTTGTTGAAGGTGGCTGTTCAAGACTCGAAGTTTGGTGACCGTTGGGAGGGTCCGTACACTGTTTTGTCTGTGAACAGCAAGTCTGGTACTTATCGTCTTACTGGGAAGAACAGTTTGCGTTTGAAGCATGCAGTAAATGGTGATCGTTTGAAGTTGTTTCATCGTGAGGCGAAGCATATGGTTCCTGACGTTCTGGTGGCGCAAGCAAATGAACAGTTTCAACGGTGGGTGAACTCAAGAGTAAACGCGTATTCAATGGTGGATACGGCGGTTGAATTTTAAAAGAGAACTCCTTGCTCGGGGGCGGTACGTGTCATGTGTGCATGTTTGTTTTGGTTCGCTTCTTCGTTCTCTTTCGCGGTTTTTCTGGTGATTCTATTATGTTAACAAATCTTCAAATTGGAATGGTGCATGTCTCTGATGTTCCTTAAAGTACATACAAAGTTTGGTGTGATTTGGTCTAGGTCTGATGGTACAATGGTGTTCCAAAGATTTCAGCCAATGGTTCTGTCTTCTGTCAGACCCAATCAGATTCGAGTCAAAAACAGTGATCGGTGTGTCAATTGTTGGGTCTGGGTCTCAATTGTTGTACTTTTTTTTTGGTTCCTTATTTGTCCTACTTCTTCCGTATTTTGTTTCATGATATTTTGCTGTGATTTAATTGTGTATTTTATTTTGTTTTATTTTGTTTATTGTATTTGACAGTTCATCTCAGTTTGAATCTGTTGAATTTTATAATTTAATTGTATTAATTGTTCTCCTGTTTGACATTTCAAACGTGATTGCTTTTGGGCAAGTTTGATCTGTTCTAGATTAATGACAAGCAATTGTCTTTGTAGAAATTTATTCTAAAGAAAGTATAAAAGCTTAAAGAACTTTAGAAGGAATAAAAAAAATCAAGAAATTAATCTTAATAATCGAAACTTTTTTTTATAAATTTTCTTTTACATATATCTTCATTGTCTTTTGAAGGAACTGTGCCTAAGGTTATAATCTCTCTATTTGTGTCTATCTCTCTATAATTACAATAGTCTTTACAGTCTTCTGTTGTTAATTATTGGTTTATCTCTTTTATTTGTTGATCTCGTCGTTCAAGGTAAACACAAAGGGAAAGAGAGGGAGTTGT